CACTTGGTAGCCCAGGCTGGCCTCGAACTCACAGAGATCTGCCTGGCTCTGCCTCCTGAGTGCTGGGATTAAAGGCATGCGCCACCACCGCCCGACTTTTATGCTCAGAATAAAGTTACAGTTATCATGTAACGCATGTATTTATTTATTTCTCTAAATTACTAAAGTGAAATAATTTAGACAAGAACTTTAAAATCATTTCTTTATATAGCTTACTTAACTTTATCTTTAGTTCAACAATCCAATAAAGTTTTAAACTACGAGGAGTGTGTGGTAGACGTATACGCATTGAAAACTTATCTACTTATATGGAACATGTTGACTGCATTACTGGGTCACACTGAGAGCAACTAAAAGTCACAGGAATTGGTGATTGCAAACCAGTAGATACGACACACTAGGGTGACAATAAGTGCTGCTGGAAAGACAAAACAGGGCAGCAGAGAACCATGGACACCCCAGCAGCTGTCAGCTGAGCTGTCAGGAAGGAAGTACAGTTGTGTGTGTGTGTGTGTGTGTGTGTGTGTGTGTGTGTGTGTGTGTGTGTGTGTGTAGGGGGTGTGTGAAAGGAAGGGACCGCCAGAGACATAGAGGCAGGAAGGCCTGTCCCTCACCTAGGTGGAGACTCATTCATACTGAGCCTGCTAAGACCTAAGAGCAAGCAAACAGGCTATGAAGGGATTTGCTGTTTCCTAAGGACTGTGTAAGCCCCAGCCCTGTCTCAGAAGCACTGTTTGTGTATTAACTCCAGGTTTTATGCAGTGGTATGGGCTAAGCAAATGAAGAGACTCTTCAGATTAGTTTGATCTTGTCATACACATCATCAGCCTAAAAAAACTTGCTTATCCTTTATTTCAGAAAATTCCCAGGTCTCATAGTTGACTGTGTGGACAAACACATATTTATGCAAATTGGCAGCAGAAGTGGAGACACAACACTGCGTCAGGAGAGGCTGATCCAGCTGCGGCACTCTGTGGGGTGCAGTGCAGGCAGCTGACTTGAGTGAAGCAACCCTCCTTCTAAGTACCAGTGTAGTTGGTTGTTTGTGCTCTTTTGGGGGGCCCACCACCCAGCTACCAAATAAATCACACAGAGACTTATTATTACTTATAAATGTCTGGCCTTAGCTTGGCTTATTTCTTGCCAGCTTTTCTTAACTTAAATTATCTCATCTACCTTTTGCCTCTGGACTTTTTCCTTTTCTTACTTTTATAACCTTACTTTCACTCTTACTCTGTGGCTGGCTGGGTGGCTAGGTGGCTAGCCCCTTCTTTTCTCACTCCTTGTTCTCCCCTTTCTCTCCTTTTCTCCTATTTATTTTCTCTGCCTGCCAGTCCCACCTATCTTTTCTCTTGCTTTGCTATTGGCCATTCCGTTCTTTATTAGACCAATCAGATGTTTTAGGCAGGCAAAGTAACAGAGCTTCACAGAGTTAAACAAATGCAACATAAAAGAATGAAACACATCTTTGCATCATTAAACAGATGTTCCACAGCATAAACAAATGTAACACATCTTAAAATAATATTCTACAACATACCAGTGTGAAACAATTTCCATGAGGGATCACTAAATTAAAAAAGCAAGATGCAGAATGGTCACAACACTCTATCACTTACCTTGAAAATTATGTGTCTGTTAGATCTATGCTAGATAACATGCAGAGATGCTTTGAAGGAATATTGATACCTTTGATTGTAGCCAAGTGGCTAGGGAATGGGAGTGGGAAGGACAGTTCCCTTTTACCATGTGTTTCTTTGACATGTGTTTACTTAAGATTTATGCTAAACACTTAGAAAAACACCAGCATCACTACAAATATCAATTTAAAGCGAATGACCTGTGGAAATAAAATTGGAAAAGCTGTTCCATTAAAGTTTAAAAATTTATTCTAAGAGTAGCTTTTAATGAAGTCCTAATCAACATTAATAGCAGCCATTCATGAGCACTGTTTCAGCAACTGGAGAATCAAAGAATTCTTCTTTAAACACGGACCATTTCTTAAAGGAAAGGCTGCCATGCATTACTGAAGTCTAACTATTTAACCAGCCCAGAGTACAGTCAATCGCTGGCTGCTCATAGGTGCCTCACTAGCAAGGCTGCTGTCACTCCTCCTCCCTCTCTCTTCCCCTCCCCCTGCATCTTTAACCATTTCCCTCCCCTCCTTCTCTTCTTCCCCTTCCTCCTTTTATCCTGTCTCCTCCTCCTCCCCCTTCCTCCTTCCTTCCTCTTCTTTCTCCCTCCTTCATCCTCTTCCATCTTTCCTTCTCCCCCTTCTCCTTTCTCCTCCTCTTTCGCCCATGCCCTTTGTTTCCCCTTGGCTCTTCCCACAGGGTCTCATGGCGTGGCCCAGGCTGGCTGGAACTCACAGTCTTCTTGCTTCAGCCTCCTGAGTACTGGTGTTACAGACCACACTCAATTATGTATCTTCTTAAATATGACTTTAGTCAAATTAACTAAGCTCCAGTTCTTCCATGTAGTAATGTCATAGTAATGATGCTTGAGTGAGTTACTTCGATGATGAAAAGAAATTCAGTGCATGGAAATTTGCTTGTGAAGTAAAGTGCAGTGGATGACAGCTGCTCTTATGAAAAATTGTTGCCCTCTGCTTTTTCAATATGGGTGTCATTAGTTTTTGTCAACATGATATAAAGTAAAGTCATTTGGGAAGAAGGAACCTTATTTGAGGAGATGTTTCCATCAGAGTGGACTGTAGGCAAGTCTGTAGGGCATTTTCTTGATTAATGATGGATTTGGGAGGGCCCAGCTCACTGTGGATGGTGCCAACCCTGAGAAAGGTGGTCCTTGATAGTATAAAAAAGCAGGCTGAGCAGGCCAATGAGCAGCATTTCTTCATGCTTTCTGCTTCAGGTTCTGCCTCCAGGTTCCTGCCTTAACTTCCCTCAGCGACAAACTGTGATGGGGAATGTAAGCCAAATAAACCCTTTCTTCCCCAAGTTGCTTTTGGTCATGATGTTTCTAATACCAATAGAAAGCACATTAGTATATTGGGGGACCTCATCCCTAAACCATAAGTGCTGTCATTGGTAATGCAGCAGCAGCTACAGCCACTGCCTGAGGAGAAAGGCAAATGATGGGGGCATAGTGTAGTCAGGTCTTGAAGAGGAAGTACAATTTCAGTTGGAGAAGTGGGGAGGACATTTTAGACAGAGGGATGAAGTGAGAAGAGGCACAAGTGGACACAGGGCAGCCTTAGGGACAGCAGCAAGCCACTTAGGTGGTGCACACAGCCCATGGGGTGGGGGCAGAGCTTTGTCAGGAGTTGAGGGCTGGTGACGTACGGAAGAGCCGGTCCTGCAGGTGGAAACCAGATAGTGGAACACTGGAGAGAAGAGAAGGTGAGGGGGGAGAGAGAGAGAGAGAGAGAGAGAGAGAGAGAGAGAGAGAGAGAGAGAGAGAGAGAGAGAGAGAGAGGAGTTGGAAATGCACTTGAGAAGGGTATAGGGCCAAAGGGAAAAACCTGAAGACTCCAGATGGAGAGTCAGCATTAGTGGAGCAAGTAGCTGAGGACAAAATTAAGGTGGAGCACAGTCTTGTAAGGGGACAGAATTCTTCTGAGATGGATGGAAGAGGAGATAGGGTTGGAGATGTGGGAGAGCTCGGCTGTGGAGGAAAGGGAAGCAAAGGCCTTTATGTCTGTTGACTTCTATTTTATTGAAATTTGGAACAAAATGATCTGTGGTGTGTGTGTGTGTGCGCGCGTGCATGTGTGTTTATTATGAAACATAAGTAATGCCTTGGATTATCCATTATAAAGATGGAAAATAATCAAGGCTGGCAGAGCATTTCTGAGGTCCAAGCTGGTGATAAAAGCTGTTTCTCATGCATTTTTCCACAGGTGGTTTTAATTGTACCCTAGACTCCAGAGGCAGAAGGAGATGGGGAGGGCAGGGATGTAGATCAGTAGAGTGCTTGCCTAGCCCTGGGTTTGCTTCAGCACTACATAAACTGGGTAAGGTGACTCATGCCTATAATCCCAGCACTTGGGAGTTGGAGACAGGAGGATGAGAAGTTCAAAGTCGTCCTTAGCTACATAGTGAGTTTGAGGGGAGCTTAGGATAGAGATCCTTTCTAAAAGAAGAGAGGGGGCAAGCAGAGTCTCCTGGAGCAGAGGAGCCAGGATAGTGATGGGGTAGAGGTGATGGACATAGGTGGCAGTGAAGCTGAGAGCAGGTGTGCCAATGAGGAGAGATGACAAGAAACAGTCGTGCAATTGCACGAGAGGGCACGTCAGAACTCGAGGCTTTAAAGGATTGTTTGATTGTGTTTTTCTGGAAACAGTGTTTAAAGAGTTGCCTAAATTTGTTGGTACCTTTGGAGTAAGTATGCCTAGGGCTGACTGCAGAATTTTTTCCTTTTTTTGGAGAGCTTCTTTGAGGGCATCTAATTACTGGTGGAGGGTGAATCTGGACTGTGTATCCAAGTGGAAAAGAGCAAGGCTTCAACAGAACCATTGAAATGATCCATGTGAGGAGATCATTATTGACAACTCGGCTTATTAAGCCAATTAAAAGTTTTAAGTCCGTTTATTGATGGCCAGACTAAGAGTGGCCTTGTGTCTGTGAAAAGTCTCTTGGTGCCCAAGCTCGGGGGTACCGAGGTTTTAAAGGCAAACCCCACAAAGACCATGATTTATGACAAAGTTAGATTAGAATCAGAATAACCTGGAAACTTTCATTTCTGGCAGAGCATATCATTATTTTAGACGTAACATGCCAATTATTTTTGCCTTTTTCCTAGTTATTTTAGTTTACTTAATTATTTTAGTTAATATATCTGAACCACAGTCAAGGCCATGGAAATCTCAAATGTGTTTCCAAGGCAGAGCTAACCATTGTGTGGATGGGGTAGAGGTCTGAGAACTGTCTAAGTAAATGCAAAATGGAGTCGGAACCAGGTGGCATTACCTTAGTTACCTCAGCTTACCATCCCAGTTCTCCATTAGGCAGCTAGTGACTTTTCCCCCTTTGCTTTTGAAGGTGAAGCCAGTCATCCATAGCAGGATCAATGTGTCTGCTCGCTTCAGGAAATCGCTGCACGAGCCTTGCACTATTTTGTAAGTTGGAGCCCTTCCTATTTCGGGGTAGAATTAATTGGCTGTGTACTTTCCTTGGGGTTTGGAGTTTGAATGTTATGAGCGTAACTGTTTCAGATGTGTTGCCTGTTTTTCCTTTTCCTCCACAGCTTGATTGCAAATGGAGACCTCATAAACCCAGCTTCTCGACTCCTCATCCCTAGAAAAGCTTTGACTCAGTGGGATCACGTGCTGCAGATGGTCACAGAGAAAATAACTCTTCGGAGTGGGGCTGTCCACAGGTGTGTCGCGGCATCTTCCCACAGGGGATGGCTGGGAATCCTGGAAGACGTGCTCATGGGCTCTGGAGTCGCTGGCCCCCAGATCTGAAGTTTTGCTGACCCCGTTAAGCTCACTGTGCCTCAGTTTCTTTATATGAAGACTATGATATATAATAGCACTTCAATGGGGATTATTTCAAACAGTCCTTGGATGCTGGCACACATCAAGAGACTTGACCTGTTTTTGTGATTTTAGTGTAGAGTAATAAGCAAGCATCATTCCACCTTAAGGGAGAGGAACTTCTTGGCCAGAACCAGCTTCTTGATTCTTAGTTAACTGTCCTTCCCTCTCCCCCTAGGCAAGACTGTTTATTTAGTGGTTTGAACTGTTTGCCTCAGGCGAAAATGTCAGAAGCTAGGGAGAGTAGATGGGCTTAAGGAGGAGACAGGTGAGGGAGGAAAAGTGAGATGATCTAAAATTAAAACCAAAAGCATTTAGTGAAATTTAAGCGGACATTTAAAGCATGGTGTAGCCTACGAAATTATCTCAAAATTTTTACTGCGCTTATTTATTTACTTGTGTGTGTGTGTGTGTGTGTGTGTGTACACGGAGGTCAGAGAAGGACGTTGGGTATTCTGCTCTATCACTCTCCTCTCCCCTTCCTTGAGAGTCTTTCTTTGACCCTCGAGCTAGGCTGGCTGCCAGCAAGCCCTGGCAATCCTCCTGCCTCTGCTCCCGTCCCTCAGTGTTAGGGTTATAGGCACACACAAGACACGTACTCAGGAGGCAGAGACAGGAGGTCTCTGGGGCTTGCAGGATGTCAGCAATCTTAGCTCCAGATTCAGTAAGAGACCCTGTTTCAAAGGAATAAGATGGAGAGTGATAGATCAGATACCACACCACTCCCTCCGACCTTTTCTTCAAGCGTGTATATGGTAAGTACACCACTGCATGTGCTCATAACATCACACACATATGTTGCACTCACACACAAGTGGGTTTTGTTGTTTCTTGATTTTTATTATTTGATATACAGTACTGTCTGTTGATTTTCCCCTTCCATTCTAGGTATTTTTATAATTGCTTTACATTTTAAATGAATTAACTAAGCATTCTTATGAATTAAGTAGTGTTATTCTCTTTCAGTAGACGTGACATATGAGACCTAGAGAGGACAGTTACATGTCCAGGATTAAGCAGACACTGGTAGCATGGCTGGATGGCAAGCCTCGCAGGCAGTCTGGAGATATGCTCTTAGTTCCTCAGCTAATTTCTAAATAAATGACATGTGTTTCCACCCCATTTTGCTTGATCTGTCACGATCCTTACACATTTGTCTTACTGGTTTTCAGCCACGCTTTATGTATTAGAGAAGTTGCCCTTTTTTGTGTAAGTTTCAAATGTGTCTCCAGTTTGCATTTTCTTTGTTTTGTATATAAACATCTCTAGAGGTTTCAGTCCTTCTTTGTGTTCACTAATTTTATCACTAGCTCCAGTCTTCCTGGCTCTAGAATTATGAGAATAATTTTATGTTGTTTCATCTTGTGCTTTTAACTTTTATTTAAACCTTAGCTACTTTTTGGTTTATTTTGGTTTCAGTAGGGAAATCAACAGCACTAATTATGCATAGTTTTAAAAGAAAATACAGGTTTACCTTTTGATATCTACATACATGCTGGCTTCCCCAAGAAATAATATAAAGTATACAAAGATATATACAGGCAATTTTTTGTCTAAATGTATCTTCTTTTTTGTGTTTTTTTTTAATTAAGAAATTTTTTATTCATTTTACATACCAATCACAGATCTCACTCACTCTTCCCACCCCTCCAGCCTCCCCCCATCCCTCCCCCCAATTCCCTCTTACAAGAAGGTAAGGCCTCCCATGGGGAGTCAGCAGACCTTGGTACATTCAGTAGAGGCAGGTTCAAGCCCCTCCCCCTGCCTCTTCTCTTATACATGAACAAATTCTTAGATGGAAATAAGTAGATATGCAAGCACTAATAGAAATAAAAATACATGTTCTCCATATACCTGAATATTTAGAGAAATTATTTTTTTTTCTTGAAACAAGGTCTCACTTTATAGCCTTGGTTGGTCTGGAACTCACTCTGTAGCCTCAAACTCTTGGAAATCCTCCTGTATCTGTCTCCTGAGTGCTATAATCTCAGGTGAGAGCTAATACATCCAGTTGAGAAATGTAATTATTAATTCAATGGTAGACTTGGTGCTGCTCACTTGGGAGAGCCCACTCTCCCTTAATAGAACATTGATAACTCTTTATATTATTCATCAGTATATTAATTTAATAGTAGAGTATCAATATATCTCTCTATTATGTATCAGTATATTAATTTACTGATAGCATCCACATTAATTGGTTCAACTCCCTGCTCATGATTCTTATGCTTTGAAGCAACAGGAATAAGCAGGTCAATAGAGGCTATATTGAAGAAGCATAATAAAATCACGTTTAGAATTTACACAGTGGCTTTATCTGTCTGCAGACTAAACCAGCCAGTTCTTGGCTGGGAGGTCCTGGAGTCCATAGCTACACTGCCTTGTAATTTCTAGTGTAACAGTTAACTGCTGATTTGGATCTGTTTTGGAGGAAAGAGGATGAGGAATGTCTGGCTGTCTGGCACTTGGCCAGGGGTTCTCAGCCAGGTGTGATTTTGTTTCCAGGGGACATGCATCTGTGTCTGGAGCCATTTCTGGTCAGCACAACTGGACATGTGAACAGCTCCTCCATCTAGTAGAGAGACTGGGGTGCTCCTCGGGACCCTACAATAGACAGGGGAGAGTCTAGGGTGCTGTTGGGCACCCTATGATTGGCAGGACAGCTTCCCTGTTGGAAGACTGACTACAGTTTCTCTGCTTAGGATTGGTGGTCTCAATGAAGCAGGATAAGCAGAAATCTGGGTTGTGTTGCTAGTTAGATTTATAGAGTTAGAAATACTACGTTATAAAAAGATGTTAACATCTGCATGCTAACTCAGAACTGCTACTTTTCAGGGCTTTTGTGGATGTTTTCAGTGGTCTTTAGGGCCAGCTGATAGATCAATGGATCTGCTTTTTTTCTTCTTTGATACAAAGTCTGTAGTCCTGGCTAGCTAGTATGGAACTCACTATATAGCCCAGGCTAGCCTTGAACTCATGATGTTTCTGTCTCAGCTTTCCTTGTGACAGAAGGATTTTTTTTTTTTTTAAAGATTTATTTATTTATTACGTATGCAGCATGTATGACTGCAGGCCAGAAGAGGGCACCAAATCTCATTACAGATGGTTGTGAGCCACCATGTGGTTGCTGGGAATTGAACTCAGGACCTTTGGAAGAGCAGTCAGTGCTCTTAACCTCTGAGCCATCTCTCCAGCCGACAGAAGGATTTTTATTATCGTTATTAACCTTTTCATGTACTATAAGACTTTTTGTAAACTTTTCAAACACATTATGTTGAAACCCTACCAACTACTAGCTCCTGTTTATAGTCTTCAAAATTGCATTATCTTCCTGGTTTAGTGTTCTAGTGGCCTACTTTCCTCTCTTTAAAAGAATTCTGTAGATAATTTAAACCATCTAGTAAAAAAAATCAGTGTCCTTACAATAAGTGACCTATTAATGGCAGTCACAGGCGCGGTTTTACAGTGAAGGAGACTCTTGAGCCCCACAGCTCTGGGAGGGCCATGCTTGCTCTCCTGCTTAGGCATGGCTAGGAAAGGAGACAGAAGCATGCCTGCTATGCAGTTCTGCGTCATTAGTGCTGGCTTGCCCCTGCCCTTCTTTCCTCTCACCTCTTTTTTTTTTTTTTCTGACCCAGTTCTGTGTGTTTGGCTGTAGTACCTTGGCCAGAGGCGATCCTTAATAGAGAATGTGGCAGGAAGCTTGTTGGCCTATGAGTATACCAGAAAATACGTGGAAGCAGTGTTACCGAACACATCAATCAGCCTTCTGGGGAAGCTCAGCTTCATTTAAACACCTGGGGCTGGTGAGGTAGCTTAGTGGGGGCAGGCACTTCCCTGCTGCACAAGCCTGAAGAGTTGAGTGTGATTCTTGGAAGGAGAGAACCAATTTCTAAATGCTGTCTTCTGACCTCTATCCACACTTAAACCATAGCACACACATGCCCTCCCCCTAAATAATAACAAATGAAAATAAATACATTCTATACAAGTAACTTTTTTTCCCCTCTAAAATCCTCCTATGGTACCGGAAGGGGTACCTGTGCTGGACTGCCAGGCTCATTGATGGTGCCTGTTCAGCCAGATGGTGCCTGAATCTCTGGTATGATGGGTGATTCCAGTTGAATCTCTTGACTTTACAATCAGTAATTGGAAGAGTAACAGAGGAGCCAAGTCAAGAATGGAGTGCCCTTATCTAGCTATGATTCTTAAGCAGCTCTCTAAATGCTTATTGAAATTCTAATTGTCGGCATTGGTGTTTTGACAGGCTTTATACTTTAGAAGGAAAGCTGGTTGAGAATGGGTCAGAGCTGGAGAATGGGCAGTTTTACGTGGCCGTTGGCAGAGATAAGTTTAAGAGACTACCTTACAGTGAGTTACTTTTTGACAAGTCAGCAATGAGAAGGCCCTATGGGTAAGTCTTCATCCTTGTTCACTCACTCTCATTCTTTAGTTACTGTTTGAAGTAGCTCTGGAGCAATGTTAGTGTAAAGGGAGGAGGAGGGGGCGATGAAGAGTGGGCATGGCGGAAGAGAGAGGCCATTATCTTATGTGTTCCATCTGTTTCAAACGTATAAACATAAGTGTGTAATTGATGGTAGGTGTGATGGTACACACGGTATTCCAAGCACAGAGGCAGAGGCAGGAGGATCAGGAGGTTAAGATCATCCTCAACTAAGTATTAAGTTCAAGGCTAACCTCTCTCAAAATCAAACAAAAAAGTATTTTCTGTAAGCAACAGTCTTATTCATCAGTTAGAATAAACAGCATTCATGACTGAGAAGTATTGCATGAAACACACTGTTGGGATTTGTGAAAAGACTCAGTATCTTTACATTGTACCAAGTTTAAATTAAATACAGAGCTCCATTCTTATGAAGAAGGTATCAGGCCATGAGCTCTTTGCATAAATCTCATGGGCATTTTCAGAGTCTAACAGTGCAGCCAGAACACACCAGTTTTCAGTTGGTTTGGATAGAAACTTACAGTAGCTTACACTCATTATCATTTTTATTTGTTTATCTTTTTGAGACAGGGTCTATCATGGTCCAGACTGGCCTCTAACTTGCTATGCAGCCCAGGCTGGCCTTGAACTCATGCTCTTTCTGGCTCTACCTTTGAGTTCTGGGATGACAGGCATGCACAGCCTCAGCTGGCTTACATGTCCTCCTCCATTCCCTTTAAAAACCATAAACTATGAAAGCAATGCAATTGTACCTGCACAAACAGATAGGGAAGCCGAGTATAGAATCAGTGCCAAACTTTCAGACTTAATGTGCGTGTGTGTGTGTGTGTGTGTGTGTGTGTGTGTGTGTGTGTGTGTGTGTGTGTGTGTTTACTTATATGTGGGCACACAGACATGTGGAGGTCAATGATTACTTTCTTGTAGGTCAAGTGCCTTTCTTGGCTCCTCTCAACTTTGTTATTTGAGACAAGGTCTCTCCCTTAAACCCAGAGCTTGCTGATTCAATTTAAGGCAGCTTGTTCCAGAGATCCCTTATCTCTGCCTCTTGAGCCCTGAGATGACAAGGCAGTCTCTGTGCCCACTCAGTGTTTCCATGGGTACTAGAAACTCAAACTCTAGTCTCCACGCTTCTGTATTTTATCCACCGAGCCGTCTCCTCGGCAAGGCTTATACTTATAGTTGCTCATGATGCACTATGTATGGTTTTTCTCTCGGAAAGACCCTTTGTGAGGATGTCATGTATAGCTGGCATCTGTGCTTCAGAGCCTTGAGCTGTGACACTGGAGCTTTCTAGGCGACTGTGGGGATCCATCTCTGTTGTTCTGTACAGAGGTCAGGGCCTCTTAGCTCTTAAAATGGCCTTTTCATGGCTGTCCTCTGAAGAGGCTGAATGGGACATCACCAGTTTGGTCCCTATTAATTTGTATACTACAAGGCTGGTGGTCGGTGGCTAAAGCTTCTAGGGAGTAGCAGAGGGAGTGTCAGGAGTGTTGGACCTGTGCAGGAGCCCAGGCCTTCATGAATGTTAGAGTTTCTTGCCAACAGACTGGTTGCTGATTACCCAATCCATGAAATCCAACCCTTTAACAACTTCTGCTTAGCAATACTTGTGAGCCTGCTGTGAGCAGAACTAGGTACTTGGTGGTAATATAAAAATTGTGACTCATTGACCTCTCTCATACACATTAGTAAGGTTTACCGTTATATATGTGTCCTATTTTTGGAGACAGATTTCAAGATGAATTTTTGCCTAATGGCACAGACATCTGAAACTTATGAAGAATATTTATTATTATTTGGTGATAATTGACCTGTTTAAAAACTTTCTGAGCCGGGCGGTGGTGGCGCGCGCCTTTAATCCCAGCACTTGGGAGGCAGAGGCAGGCGGATCTTTGTGAGTTCGAGACCAGCCTGGTCTAGAGAGCGAGATCCAGGAAAGGCACAAAGCTGCACAGAGAAACCCTGTCTCGAAAAACCTAAAAAAAAAAAAAAAAAAAAAAAAAAAAAGAGGGTAAAACTCAGCCCTTGTTTAAAAAAAAAAAAAAAAAGGGGCCGGGCGGTGGTGGCGCACGCCTTTAATCCCAGCACTCGGGAGGCAAAGGCGGATCTCTGTGAGTTCGAGGCCAGCCTGGGCTACCAAGTGAGTCCCAGGAAAGGCGCAAAGCTGCACAGAGAAACCCTGTCTCGAAAAACCAAAAAAAAAAAACAAAAAAAAAAAACAAAAAAAAAACTTTCTGAATATAAATGCCAGTACTTTTCATCCTTTTCCACCACAAGTGGACATAGTATACAGTATTTTTAAAAGTCATTATTATAATTATTATTATTTTTGAGAGAGAGTCTTGTGTAACCTGGGCTAACTTTGAACTCTTGATACCTGAGACTCTACTGTCTTAGGGTTAGGATTAACAAATGGGTGCCACCATGCCCAACAAATTTATTGTTTCTGACTCAATCTGGCATGGTTGTTACTTAGCTTAAAAATGATTTTTTCTACAAATAGAAAGGTTGGGAATTTAAATTAAAACTGTTTTTTCTTAGGGTTTCTATTGCTGTGAAGAGACACCATGACCATGGCAACTCTTACAAAGGAAAAAATTTAATTGGGATGGCTTACAGTTCAGAGGTTCAGTCCATTATTATCATGGTGGGGCATTGTGGTGTGCAGACAGGCATGGTGCTGGAGAAGTAGCTGAGAGTCCTACATCTTATAGGCAACAGGAAGTGATGTGACTGTCATACTGAGTGACGCTTGAGAAAGAGACCTCAAAGGTCATCCCCACAGTGGCACACTTCCTCCAACAAGGCCACACCCACTCCAACAAAGCCACACCTCCTAATAGTGCCACTCCCTGTGAGATTGTGGGGGGCAATTACATTCAAACTACAACACTGTTATAAAAAATTGTATTAAAAGTTTGTCTGTAAGCATAAAGTCAGATAATACCCAGGAAACCATTAGAAATGATTTAGAATGGAAATTTGAGGGTTTATGGCACTAAGCACAAGTGTCAGTGGGCAGGGGCTTCTGGGAGGTGAGAGCACGTTACAATGATTGTTGTACATGATATGGTATCTGTAACTAACAGTCACGTGTCCAAATGCAATTTGTTTCCACAGTCAGAAAGCTTCTTCACTGCCTCCCATGGTTGGATCGAGGAGGTCTAAAGGGAGTGTAAGTATCGGCAGCTTTCCTCATTAATGTTCTAGCTCTACAGAGCCATCCTCTGGGTCTCAATTAAATTCAAAGGAATAAATCTTAGCTACCTGGTGGCATATAAGCAACTGTGTGAAACATTACCAGAGTTTCAATGTAACAACTGAAGTCCTAAACGAGAGCTAATGCCTTTTAGAAGATAGAATCCAAAACTTTTTCCTTGTGTAAACATGATGCAACTTATGTTGTGGTTATGGTCTGAACAGGAATTCACAGCTGTGAGAACCTTGCTAGGTCCCAGTAGTGCTTGGGGTAGTCTGTGTCTCACAAAGACTAAGAGGAACTTTAGGTAAGAAGATGGCCACCCTCGGTTGTACTTTTCTGAAAAAAAAAAAAAATCAAGAATTATCCTAAATGCTTCGTCCCACCCCAGATGCTTTCCCTGGCCATCCCCTCACTGTTCGCTACCTGAGCGAGGATTGATGATGTGCCTGAGATGTGGGAACCAGAGCCTGCAATGGGTAGTTCATCTGCTAACAGTTCAGTCTACACTGCAGCTCACCCCTGACCTCCGGTCTACACTGCAGCTCACCCCTGACCTCCGGTCTACACTGCAGCTCACCCCTGACCTCCGGTCTACACTGCAGCTCACCCCCTAACCTCCAGTCTGCACTGCAGCTCATCCCCTAACCTCCGGTCTACACTGCAGCTCACCCCTGACCTCCGGTCTACACTGCAGCTCATCCCCTAACCTCCAGTATGCACTGCAGCTCACCCCTAACCTCCGGTCTGCACTGCAGCTCACCCCTAACCTCCAGTCTATACTGCAGCTCACCCCTGACCTCCAGTCTGCACTGCAGCTCACCCCCTAAGCTCCAGTCTACACTGCAGCTCACCCCTAACCTCCGGTCTACACTGCAGCTCACCCCCTAACCTCCAGTCTACGCTGCAGCTCATCCCCTGCCCCATCCATAGCTCCCTTGAGGATGAAGTCCACTTTGTTTTGGAGGGCTGAGGTAGCACGATTTTCTGGCTGAGGGTTCTCTGCTCTCTCTCAGTGGCCTTAGCAGGAGTGATCAGAACTGATGTAGCGTTCCTACCCAACTCCAATTAGCTGAGCAGCAGTCATGTTCTGGTGTGCTGTAAGCGCTTGGTGATCGGTGATATTGTCTCCTAATGGACAAGTTCGTATCCTTTCCTGTGTGCTTGTTTCATGACATTCTCAACGAAAAGGAAAGGTAATTTTGTGTTGTGTTGTTGACTCTCAGTCATGGAGACTGTGCTGCTTATGACAAAGCTCCTGCCCTCGATGCTCTTCACACTCTAAGGGAAAGACAGGAAACTACCTGGAAGGTTAGGAACAGCCTGAAACTGAGTCCCAGCACATGACCACCAAGAACATGGAGTTCGAACCCTCACTGCCTCTGGGTGCCAGGGCAGAGTCTAGTGGATGCAGCTGCGGAAAGCGGTTTTAGGAGCACGGTGGTGTGAGGGGAGGAGAAATGGGTCCGTGAAGATGGCATCATGGGAGCCAGGGTTCAGTGTCCACCCAAGACTCTACTGTGCCACGTTCTTCCCAGGACCTAGTGGAAAGCCAAATAAGACCCATGAATTTAGGTTTTCTCTCCTTCTTCTCCTCCTCTTCCTTGTCCTCCTCCTCCTTCTTCCTTTTCCCTTCTCTTAAATTTCATCCTGAAGACATAACACAGGTGCCCCTGCCTTCTGTGCTTAAAGTGGAAAACAAAGCAAAATGGGAAACATGAAGTGTAGAAGTAACAGGTCTCAGGCTTCCACTGAGCAAGCAGCAGGAGAGTGACAGTGTGCACCTGCTTGCTCTGAGCTATGGATTCCTACCCTTGCACCTCGTGGTCAGTGAATCTTCAGGCCAACTTCAGCAGAGACCCTTCATGTCTGTAGGGTGATGTGCCAGGAAGTCAATTTCTATATGACCATGAGCTCCAGCATGAAAGTCCGTCTTTATCCTTGAGTAGAGGGAGTCCTGAGAGCCTCTGAGAAGTTAAAAAAAAAAAAGTGCCATCCGAGTCAGTTGAAGAACCTCAGATCTTTTATGCAGAAAGAGACTTATGTGGAGTGATTCTATAGGCAAGCCACGGGAAGTGGCCTGAGTAGAACATGGTGAGTCTAGACTAGGTAGACAGCAAGGGAAACTGGAACTGATTATTATTCATGAAGAGACAGAGTTTGCTTGGTGATTGGGTAGATAGGGTTGCTGGAGAAGATAGAAACCAAGATAACCACAGGGTTTTGAGCTTGAATGCCAGAAAAAAGTGGTAGTTCAATGACCAGGAAGAGGACAGGCAGAAGAAAAAATTAACAATGGCTTCCTTTTAAATGTGCTGAATCGATTTGGCCAGCCACATAATGACCTAATTTGAGGTACAGACTGTGTGGTACTGCCAGCACTTAGGACAGCTTGGCATGGCCCAGGCATCAGTAGTAGTGTAGCTTGAGGGAATGGGTGAGTCTAACCTGGAGGGGACAATTCAGTGATAGCCCCAGGTGATCTGGGTGTAGAGAATCTAACCTCTCAGGGTGGAGAGGAAGAGGAGTGAGACTTGGGTCAGTAGCTGAAAAGTATCTTCACCATTAAAAATGATAAATGAAATCCATGGGAGATTGATTTATTAAGGTTTATTTTTAAATATGTATGCCTTTGTGGGGCTGTATGCACATGAATGCAGGTATCTGCCAAGGCTAGACAAGGGTGTCAGATGCCCTGAAGCTGGAATTACAGGCTGCCTGTATGTGGGTGTTAGGAACTTGTGTGCTCTGCAAGAACAGTAAGCTTACTTAACCTCTAAGCCATCTCTCCAGGCCCAAGGCTTGTATTTTGTTCTCTGGCTTTCTGGAGGGCTTTGTGGCAGAATTCTTTCTGTGTACACACCATGCAAGTCTCAGCTCTTCACTCTTGTAGTACAATGGACAAGCAGTGGTTAAACAGAAACCCAGTGTAACTGAATAACTCACCCAGGGTCACAGGGAAAACGGATGGCAGGACTCAAGTCACAACCCAGCTCTTCATGTTCCCAGCCATTGCACGTTGCAATTTTGTTTTCACTAGTATGAAATCTGAAAAGCTAAAATTTTCATGAACGATGAAAGACTGCTCCTGCTCCAAGGCACACGTTCCAGCACAGTCACGCAGCTTCCTTCCTTGCTCACTCCTGAGGAAGATTTCTGCATCCATTGTGAGTACTGGTTCTCAGAAAGATGATTGAGTATCCCGGTGTCTGGCTGGGGCTGAGCCCTGGGGCGGGGGCAGAGATAAGTAAACAGGCATGCCTCTCTTGGATGCTCGTGGTCTACTGCAGGAGACAACTGTTGACCCAACAACTCCATAAGTCAGTGGATAACTGCAGAGTGTGATCAAATGGATGGAAACTGCAGGACAGTGTGAGAGAAGATAAAGAAATCCAATTTAGATAGCTGTGCACAGGCCCCACTGAGGAAGTGACTCGAAGATATAACGTACATTCCCAGTCAGTAGAAAAGAGGCTCAAAAGGTTAAACTTATCTCCACGTTATTAAAATACACAAATGAAAATGCATTTGTGTCTCTTCTCACAGCTGCTGTGTGTATCCATCTCTTCATTGCTCACTTTGTCAGTCACGCATCCATCTGTCCTATCAGCCATCCACCCGTTCACCCCATCAGCTCTCCATCCTTCTGCTCTATCCACCATCCAGCCACACAATCATCCATCGGTACACTCTGTGAGCCATCCATTGACCCATTCTATGAGCCATCCACCTAGTCACTCCATCAGCCACCCACCCATTCATCTCATCAGCCTTCCATCCGTCCTCTCTATCTGCCATTCATTTGTATTCTTCATCAGCTGTACATCCTTCACTTTACCAGCCATGCATCCGTCTACTCCATTAGGTGCCACTCATCCATTTTGTCAGCCATTCACCATCCACTCATCCATTCCATCAGCCACATACTTATCCACCTACATCTGTATATCTTCTCTACCAGCCATGCACTTATCTGCCCTGTCATCCATCTATCCATCCATCCTGTCATCCATCCATCCACTCTACAAGCCACCCACTCACTTGTTCTTTCACCTGCAATCTATTCACTCTATCAACCTATTATATCAGTTTATTCATCCGGCCAGCCACCCACTCAATACATATTTGTTGAGTGTTTACTAAGTGCCAGGAACAACTATACACACTTAGTGTTGCATGTATAAAGAGACTAATGAGGATCTTACACGGTATTCTTTCAAGTCCTCATGTGTGTGCTAGGGGAATTAAGATTGGTTGGACAGACTATTCAACCACAAATATGTAGATAATTTCAGACAGCAATGAATGCTATAAGTGAACTAAAATATGGCAGGGCACTGACTCATAGAGAAGTCTCTGAAGCAGAGATATTTGTGATGTGCAGGAGGCAGTCATGCAGAAAGGAGATGAAGGGGAAGGAGTTGAGGCAGCGTTGTTCAGAGGAAGCAAAGTTATCCAGGCTGTTGGTAAAGAGCCTGACAGGGGAAAGGGCGGGAGAGGACCAGGGCAGTGGGCGCTGAATGAAGCGGGAAGAGTCGGCAGGCCCAGTCACATAGACCAAGCCAGGCTTGATCCAGGCCTTCAGAGATGCCCCTGAGGGGCTTAAAGGAAGAATATGCTAGTACTTGATTTGTACTTTGAAAGATGAAAACATTAAAACCGTGTGTGTGTGTGTGTGTGTGTGTGTGTGTGTGTGTGTGTGTGTGTGTGTGGGTATGGGTATATGCACATGAATGCAGGTTCCTGTGGAGGCCAGAAGAGAGTGTCAGATTCCCTGCAGCTGGAGTTACAGGTGGTTGTGAGATGCCTGACATGGGTCCTAGAAAGCCAACTTGGGACCTCTGCAAGAGCAGCATGTGCTCTTAACCACTGAGCCATTTCTGCAGCCCTTGATTTATAATTTTTAAAGCTCATTATGGCAAACGCAGATTGGGGGAATAATGGAAGTAAGGGGCAGAGGATGTCTGGAGTCCAAG